CAGTTGGACAGGTGTACCTAATAAAGTGGCCGGTGAGTGTATATACATGTGCTGATAAGCCTTAGTGGTCTGTTGACTGACCTAATATTTGTTCAAATAATTGTTATGGGCAGGTTACAATATAAAAAATTGTTTGTCTTGTGATTATTTGACAGGAGTTTTACTTTTAAACTGTAAGTGTATTTAATTTAGTTATAATGTAAATACAATTAAAATTTAACCAAGATTTAGAATAATTATCATTTTGATCCATACATTGGTAATGTTTGACTGGGCCTTGTACCACTTTGTGTTCAATAAATTGAGCCCCGAAGTCAAAAAGGTTAAGAACCCATGCAATAGACCAAGTGTGGAAAAATTAATGTGTTATATAACATATACAAAGCTTTATCATTAAAAAAGTCCCTTCCTTTGTAAAGCAATGCAATAGATTTAGCTAGTTTTATTCTTAAATTATTTATATGAGGTTTCCATGTCAGTTTCTCATCAATAATAACACGAAAAACTTCACTTCACTGACTCTACTGATCTCTACACATCAACTCTAAATGGATTATTAACAGTTCTTTGTCTCTTTGTAAATATATCATTAGTTTTATCCAGATTTAGTGATAATTTATTAAGTTTAAACCAGTTTTTCACAAATTCTGTTTATATTTTCTCTAACATCCGTTCTGTCTTTACCCAAACAAAAAAAGTGGTGTGATCTGCCCTGACACATGAACCAAGTCATTCACATTTAGGATAAAACAGCTGAGCAGCATGATGAGCATCAGGCCGCATTCAGACAATGTTTGAAGTGTTTGTGTGTGTTTGTGTAAACACCTGTTCTGAGTACGCTTCCTTCACCTCCTCAGTCTCCAGGTCGCTCTGCAGCTCCTCTGAGGAGGTGATGGGCTTCACTCCTGCCGTCCTGGCTGCCTGACTCACAGCGTCAGAGAGGGAGAGGAAGCTGCTGCTGCTGTGACCCGTCTGAAAACACACCTGTGTTAAAGAGGAGGAGCCACAGGTCGGTGCACACCAACAGGCTCCTCCCATTCTCTTTACCTTTCTGCGTTTGGCCGGCATGCCGTGTAAATAAGCATCAGAGAGCGGAGGCTGAGCCTTCATCTTCCTCTGCGTCATCATGTCACACCTGATGATGGGAACCCACTCCTGCATCACAGGTGAGTCGTTGTTCAATAACTGCACGCTCAGCGTAAACAGGATAAATGTGGGTCTGAGTGTGTGGGGGTCTTACAGGGGGGACGGCAGCAGCCCAGGTCTCTGAGTCTCCTGCTTCCTCGCTGACTCCCTCAGCTCCTGCTGCTGCCATGTCACCACCCAACGGGGCGGCCCCGCCCGAGGCTCCCAGCTCTCCAGGGAACACCTTGAGCTCCCGCGAGGACGAGGCGGCGCTGTGGGATACGGACATGGCTTCCTCCGCTGTGGTGGCTGCTGCGGGGGACAGGGTGCCCCCGATCTTTGGAGGAGGGAGACAGGGACGTGAAGGAGGGCCTGGAAGTACTGAGAATGTACCATGTGAGGACTCTTACCGGTGCAGCTGGCTGCGGCTCCTCAGCGTCGCTGGCAGCAGACTGAGCTCTCTGTGAAAGAACAACATGTAATATTTATCAGCTGTCAGAGACGCCGTGCACGTAACACGATCTGTGTGTGTGTGTGTAAGCCACACCTGCGTGTGGACCATGTAGCTCTGGATCTGCTCCTGGGACACTGGGATGTGCTCCAGGATGACCTGCAGCCTCATGGTCATCATGCTGGTCATCCAGTTCACCATGTTGGGGCTGATGTCATTCGACATCCTCCTCTGGAACAACAAGCAGAGTTTAACTGGCTGCTGCCTTCACACACGTTATTAAATATCACCCTGCACCTTATCACTACAAACTGTCTCTTTCTTACAGAAAGACGAGAAAATATTAGAGCTGCAGATACAGAAAATTAATTTTTGGTTCAGTTTGATACTTTAGTCTCACGGTTTGATAATTTTTTGATACAAAAAGACAAATGTCCATGCTCTTCTTAACTTGTAGTTTACTGAAATTAATTATAAACATTTATTTAACCTGATTTTTATCGATTTTATCGATTTGTTGTTGCAGCCCTATCTGAGTTTGTCCCAAACAATTTGTAACAATCAGAATACAGGGTTTCAAAGTGTTGTCTGCTTCAGCCCCACCTTAATGATTTAGACAGTTAAAATAAAGATGGGCAGATCTGAACCAGTTTTTTATCTTCAGGTGGAGTTTAGAGCCTCAGGTGTCAAAATACAACAACTAAAATAGAAAGGGCTAGCATCACCTGCTAAAACTCTGACCATTTTGAGAGAATTTGTAAGATATTTGTTCAGAACCTCTCAGAGGAAAAAGACTCATTTCCCTACAAACACCCAATAGAAAGTATGAAATGTGTTCTCTGCTCTCCACTCACTATTCTGTGGTTGATGACGGCGGTTAGAGCTCTCTGGTCTCCTCTTAGACAGAACAGGTTGAGGGCCAGACACTCAAACAAAGCCTGGTTACACATCTGCAGCAACCTGGGCCCAAAGCTCTCATCTGGATGGAAAACAAAGTTTGTTTTGTTTTATTCTCTCACAGTTGGACTCTAAAAGTCTAGAAGCTTCTTACAGACACAGTTGGCAGGTAAACACAGTGAGGTGCTGCTGGATGGCAGCCAGTTTACCTGTGCAGCGCAGGACATGAGCGGCGATCTGCCTCAGCTGCTGTCTGAAGAAGGACATGTTGGTTTGTGTGATGTCCACTCCGTCCAACACTGTGACTGAAGACTCTCTCTGCAGGTTCAAATGAGACAAAGTGAGTATTTTTTATACAATCCAACCATCGACATGTGATGTGAAGAAGAGTTGCAGTTTGAAAAAAGACTCACAAAGCTCTCGGTGATGTACTCCTCCAGCTCATTAACCAGACGGTCAGCAGCAGCCTGTGGAGGAGAAATACCACATCACACCACAGAAATAACCAGAGAGGTTCTGACTGAAATTAAAACAAACACTGACAGAGATGTTCTGCTCGGTGGGTTCTCTGCCGTTCAGGTAGTTCTGGGTGAAGAACTGGGACAGCTGAGGCTGGATCCGGCCCAGGGGCTGGTGCTGACCGTGCAGCAGCATCACCAGGTCCGACATGGTGAAGGTCTGACACACCAACATCAGCAGCTCCCCAAAGAACCCTGAGAAACAACGGTTAAAGGTAAAACAATGTCCCTGCTGCTGCTGCTGCACAGGTGAGTGTGACCTACCTGTGGGGTCCTCAGGACTGATGAAGATGTTGTTGACCTGAGACAGCCTCTGCATGAACTGAGCGATGCTCTCCGTGTCGTTCTGAGCTTGGCCCAGAGAGCCCATCATGGTGCTGAGGACGCCGCGCACGATTCCTGTGAACAGCTCCGGGTTCAGGGACTCGGCTGCTGCTCCGGTGGGGTTGGCTGCCGGGGCGGGTCCAGCGGTGGGGGCCGGGGTGGTACCAAAGGGAGGTGGGGGCTGGGCGAAGATGGGCTGCAGGAGGAGGGTGTAACGGTGAACCGTCAGGGTACAGATGTCTGGAACACCAGGCGTTTGTTTTATACTCACCTGCTGCATGAGATCTGTCACTCCCTGGATGAGGATCGGGACCCTGGACATGGTGACGGTTATTGAGGAGCCCCCCGTGGAGCCGACACCGGCCCCTCCAACCACCCCAGGGAGAGACCTATAGAGCTGCTGAAGAGCTGGAGCCAGGTCCTGGGACACGCTGCTGCTGGACTCAGTTTGGTTCTGGGTAGGAGTAGTGTTTGCAGCAGGATGTGGTGTTGGAACCGAGGCAGAGGAGGAGGAGGAGGAGGAGGAAGTGGATGTAGAGGAGGTGGTGGAGGATGTAACTGTTTGACCTGCTGTAAAAACAAACAATCAAGATTTACTCATTAGATAAAAACTAAGTGACCAAGGCTTGATGTAAACCTAAATGTAAAAGTAGAACCTGACCCATTTGTCCCAGTAGTAACAGCTCTCCAAACAGTCCACTGATCATGTGGTTGAACACCTGACAGAAAAACACCAAAGATCACGCTGTGTGGTTAACAGGCCAACAAGTTAACAAGCTAACATGTTAAGAAGTTAACAGGCCAACATGTTAACAAGCTAACATGTTAAGAAGTTAACAGGCCAACATGTTAAC